GCACATATAGGAGTTAATACTATGAAAAGAATGACTAAATGTGGATTAATACAATGTGATATGGACAACTTGAAAAAATGTGAAACGTGTGTTAAATAAAAAATGATTAAGAAGTCATTTCATAGTGTAGTAAGAACAATAAGATTACTTCTATTGATGATTGTTTTAGATATACCTATGTGTACTTGTTAAAACATAAGAATGAAACATTTAGTGCCTTTAAGACTTATAAGATTGAAGTTGAAAATCAATTAGGAAAAAAATTAAAGACTTTAAGAAGTGATAGAGGTGAGGAATATTTTTCTAATGAATTTAACACGTTTTGTGAACAAAATGAAATAACATATCAAGCTTCTGCACCTAGAACACCGGAACAAAATGGATTAGCAGAAAGAAAGAATAGAACTCTTTTGGAAATAATAAATGCAATGCTGTTAAATTCTGAATTATCCTTTAACCTATAGGGTGAAGCCTTACTTAGTGCTTGCCATATAACAAATATGATTCTTATGAAAAAGAATAAAATTTCTCCATATGAAATCTGAAAAAAAAAGAAAACCAAATATTAGTTATTTTAAAGTGTGGGAGTGCCTTGCATATTGTAAAAATATGAATCCTAAGAGAACCAAGTTAGGTCCTAGAGGTATCAAATGTGCTTTTGTGGGATATGCTCTCAACAGCAAAGCCTATAGATTATTGAATCTAGAAACAGATGTTGTCATAGAATCAAGAGATGTGAAATTCTTCGAGGATATAATGGTGGCTAGGAAATCTGAAAATAATAATAATGATATTTCAATCTTTAGAAGCTCACTAGAAGAGACATCCATAAAAGATGTAGAGGTTTAACCTCGAAGAAGTAAAAGAATTAGAAAAGAAAAGAACTTAGGATCAGGTGAAATAGATCCCCAACTTATTTTTTTTTTACTTAACAAAAGGAGATAGGAAGGATGTTGTAAGAACAATTCCCTTTATTTTTCAAGTGGAAAGTGATCCTAAAATGTATAAGGAAGCGTTACAATCTAGAGATTGCATGTTTTGGAAAGAAACCATAAATAACGAAATGAATTTTATTATTTCAAATAACACTAGGGAAATAATTGACTTGCCAGCAGGATCTAAGGCTATTGGTTGCAAGTGGATGTTTAGGAAGAAATACAATTTCAATGGATATCTTAATACCTATACGGTTAGATTACTAGCTAAAGGGTATCATCAAGAAGAAGGAACTGATTACTTTGACACATATGCACCCATAGCTAGGATAAACCTTGATCAGGATCTTATTTGCGTTAGCATGCATTTATGATCTACATGTTCATCAAATGAACGTCAAGACGGCGTTCCTAAATAGAGATCTCGAATAAGAGGTCTATATGGAACAATCAGAAGGGTTCGTTCTACCGAAAAATGAACATAAAGTGTGTAAATTAATTAAATCCTTATATGGACTAAAGCAAGCTCTCAAAAAGTGGCATGAGAAATTTGACTCTAAAATAATGTCAAATTGATTTAATCACAATTCGGTGGATAAATGCCTCTACATGAAAGTGAATGATAATATATTCACATTAGTATGTCTATATGTTGATGATATGATAATCATTAGCAATAATATAAACAGGATTAAAGAAACAAAATTGTTTCTATCCTCTACTTTCAAAATGAAGGATTTTGGATAAGTTGATACTATACTTGGTATCAAAGTTAAAAAGGATATTGGGGGTTTTACATTAAGCCAATCACACTATGTGGAGAGTGTGATCAACGAATTCAAACATTTGAATATTAAAGAGGCTAACACTTCTATAGATCCAAATATTAAATTGATAAAAAATGAATGTAGAGCAATTGCACAAATAGAATACGTAAGTGCAATTGGAAGTCTTATCTATGCATTAAAATGTACAAGATTTGATGTAGCATTTGATATAGGTAAACTAAGTAGGTTTACTAGTAATCCAAGTTCAGAACATTGAAAGGCCATCGTAGGGTTCTTGGTTACCTAAAGAAAACCAAAAATCTTGGGCTACAATATACAAAATTTCCTAAAATCTTGAAAGGATATACCGACACAAGTTGGATATCGAGTGCAGGAAAGAATAAATCTACTTTAGGTTGGATATTCACTCTTGGAGATGGTGCAATTTCTTGAAAGTCTAAGAAACAATCTTGTATTACTCATTAACTATGGAATCAGAGTTTGTAGCATTGGCCGAAATTGGGAAAGAAGTTGAGTGGCTAAAAGATTTATTATATGAAATACCTTTAGATTTAAATGACATTTCTTCTATTCCTAGCTTGTGTGATTGTCAAGTCACTCTAACTCGAGCATATAAATAGTATACAATGAAAAAGTCTAGACACATGAGTCTAAGACACGAGTATGTAAAAAAATTAATCAAGCATGGAGAAATTTCTCTTACATTTGTTAAGTCTAGTGAAAACTTAGCCGATCCTTTTACAAAACCTCTCACAAAAGAGTTAGTGAGATCAACATCAAGTAAAGTGAGATTAAAACTCCTCAAATAGATCCATCAATAACTGCAACCTCACCAAAATATACTAAATTAGTATATAGATATGTTCAAGAGGTAACAAGAAGTTATTCGATAAGTGAATGGATTCAACACTATTAAATATATCTAGTACTATCTTTGAAAATAGTGTTGGTTAAGACTGTTAGAGGGATGAGTTAAAATAAACTCTTAATGAAGTTTAGTACGGAGTACAAGTATCTGTAAAAGTAACAAAGATACTGAAAGAACTTCACCTATGTGAACTTCTAGGTGGTGCCGCCTCATTAGAGAGTTGGAGTTTTCTCTCTTTAAAAGTTCAATGAAATATGATTAGTGCAAGGATATATTAGCACTAAGTAAGTTAGAGGAACTAGTGAAAAGCTTAACACTTGTGTGTGTGATTTCATCGGTATTGTTACAAAGAATAATTGGTTCAAGGCACACTAGCCATCTGGAATTCTGATAATACTTTACGAGAATTATACTATGAATAGATTCAAATCTAAAGATATCTAATTCTTATGAATAAGTGTTGATATTTCATTATGTGATTAATCCAGATTTTGAACAAGTGAGGGATTGTTGGAATTTATTTATTTGTTGTTAAAAATCAAAGAAAGAAAATGGCTTAACCATGCGACCGCATGGATTAAGCCCATGCGGTCGCATGAGGCCTTCCCGAAAATGGGAGGGCTGGCAAAACTATAACCATGCGATCGCATGACTATAGCCTATGCGGTCGCATGGTTGATATTTGTGACCATTGTGAGCTGTTTTTGACCTTTTTTATTTGAAATTGGTGGCTTTGCATCATTATTTTGCACCATTTCGTGAAAAACTTGCCAACGCTATAAATAGGTGATCCAAGTACAAGAAAGAAATATTGAGTTCCATTGAAATTTATCCCAAAATTATACTTCCAATATTGAGAAAATTTATCACATAATTCTTCCAATTTTCATTTGTTCATTGTGAAGATACACCTTTACTTTTTGGTGTTCTTCTTATCAAGGCTTATTTAATCCTACAACCTATTTTCTAGAAATCTTTAAAATGCATTGGAAAGGAAGCAAACAACATTTGAGGACAGCGAGATTAATTTCATATTCAAGCCTTCGTTGATATACTTTTATAATTGGCTTAGGTGATTATTTCTTATGCTTGCATTATAGATTGTATTTCATTTTTATATCCTTAGGGGTAATATTCACAGAAATTAACAATCAAAATTTGTTTGTCACCAGGAAGGATCTTATGAGTGTAGAAGCAGCAACGAGCATATTTGCACTTCTGAGTGCAGCAGCAGTAACCATTTATAATGGAACATTAGTGAATATTTTTATTTTTCCTCCACAAAATGTGATTTTTGTTACCAATGACAAATATACAGTATATAATATATAAATTTTAAAAATATGGTAAGCAAAAAATAATATGAAATGTTAAATTGACCAAAATAGGTAAATTCCATCTGCAGCCATAGACATTTAGCCGATTGCCTATAGATCATTGAACTTAGATGGAAATTGCTTAATTGACATCCATACGGCAATTGATCGTCTAAGTAGTCGCTACGTGACACTTTAGAAATGGAAACGGTAAAATCAGAGCTATGGTAATTTACAAGCTCTACTGATCGGGGAATAAATGATTCCCTAACAGTTTGCTGAAGAAAAATGAAGCCTCAAAAATGGCTTAAACGTATTTATATCAAAATATTATTAGACATATATTACAATGGCAGGAAGTACTAGAAAATCCATGATCTGGAAGTACTGGAAATTTTCCCTGCAAGTATCAAAACAAAACTGCTATTCTCTCCCGCTTGGCCTCTTTCATCATGAACAGATAAACTCCTAAAGTTCTTTGTGTTCTTTTGTCAGTTTGTCTTTGTACTTGTATTTCTCCTCTTTTCCATATTTCACCGGATTTCAGAACTTTGTCAATTTCATTTTCTTTTCTGGGTATTTTTCTTTCAAGAAAAGCACAATCAATCTTGTGTGGATAAGCGATTGTGATAATTCATTTGTAAGCAGTGCATGATGGTTGATTCGATTGTATCTTGGTTGAATTTTTATTAGCAATATATGACTTTTTTTATTCATGAGGCTGAAAACTCTGGAATTTCATACGTAATTGATGAACACTTCAATGGTCTTTTGGCAAAATTTAGTTTTTTTCCAAGAGTACTAGTACACAAATTTCATTTTCTTGTCATAATTTGTAGAGTTATGGGAGGAGAAAAATCATGCGGGCTAATTCGAAATGTCAAGAAAACACATTCAAAGGGGATAAGTTGGCGGCAGAGATCACTTTCATATTAAAGAAACAATAATGTTTGACCCTTGTTTTAAGAAAAATCCAATTAGGAAACAACACAAAGATGTTTCTTAAAGTACTGTATTCTATAATCATTTTTTTCACTGTTATGGGATGCAATGCAGCTGCATTTCGGACAGGAAATGACTTGGAGCCTGACAATTAGATAAATACCATAATCATCTATTCATTTATGCCTTGAATAAATTAATAACAAGCACAAAGAGATAAAATTCTGGCGACGAAATGAACACCGATATTATTGGCATAACTCTATCTCCAAAGAATATCCTAATCTCGAATTCCCTGTTTTTGTACTCAAGTAAGTAAACCAGACACTTCAGCTGAACAACCCAAAATGCACGGGAACTTGTGCAGACTTCAACCAAGTATTGCCTTGCAAGAAGGGACCAACAGTAAATTTCAAGGCATCTTCCCTCTTAATTGCTTTGTAACCCGGCCACTTGACTCTGCCAGAAGTACTAGATCCTGGGCCTTTGTTGTTGTATTCCGCGTAATGGAGAGTCTTGAGGGCGAAGTCACCACTCCATTCTAGCCAACCTGCGGGCTGAATCAAGTCATCAATCTCCGTTTCCATTATAATGGTTCTCGAGTACTCCTTCCATGGCCTGCCAAGATAACTCTTGATTTTGGCCTTCTCGGACATGAGTTTATCATCTGCCAAAATGTGACAGTTTTGCAGCACAATCCCAGTGGTTTCCCTTTTGTCTACCCTTCCTTGAGCTGTAACGATATTTTGTTGGTTATCCATCGGTTCTCTCACATATATCATGCAATTCTGGAAAATAGCTGCTGCATCACCAAATATGAAATCTACTGTACCAGTAATGTAACAGCTTCGATAAAATTGTCTGTGAGTTTGAGCGTAGAGGGTATCCTGGTACCCCTCCATTCTGCAATTAAGAAAAATTGAGCGATCAGCCTGCACACGAAGAGCCACTGCTTGATGCTTTTCTGGACCAGCCGTGTTTCTGAATCCGATGGATTGGGCCATGAATCCATCACCTAGTGCGGCTGCCAATACACAGGCGCGATTATTAAGTTTCTGAATTATAAATTATGGCCAAAACATGTAATTTCTTTTTCCTAATTACGTACCAAATGTTGCAGTTTGGAATGTTGGTACCCCATCAACATAATTTTTCTTGCCAGTGACGATGCTTTTCTGGGAACCGTCGCCACAGATGGTAATATTTTCCATCTTCTTAGTAACTATAACATTCTCTTCATAAACGCCTTCTTTGATGTAAATAACATATCTGCAATATTATCACTAATTAAAAACATCTCCAAGTAAGAGAACGAGAAAATTTAAATCAGTTTACATAAAATTTAAGACAAAGGGGTGTAAAAAAAAAAAAAAAAAAAAAAAAAATGAACCTGGGTTAAAAAAAAAAAAAAAAAAAAAAAAAAAAAGAAAGAACACTGCATACCGTCCTTTATATTTTTGAGGTAGATCATTTAATGCTGCCATGATGGTTGTATAGTTTCCACTACCATCTTTTGCCACGGTCACGTTTGCAGTCTGCTTTGGGTCATCAGCTTTAAGAATTCTTCGATCTTCCTCATTTATCCATGTGGGGAATCCATCCTCATATGCCAAAAGATTTCTCTTGAGATTAGGTACTTGAAGTTTGGAAAAGATAGATGAAACTTGTGAGACAACGGCTAAGGCATTGCTGCCAAGTTCCTTGGCAGTTTTCAAGAGTTTCTGCATTGTAGCCTTCTCCTCTCCATCAGGGAATCCATCAATACACGTCTGTTGGTAAGACATTACTGCACTCAACCAATTGTTAATATCAGGCATTCTCGAGGAAATCTTGCCCAAATCCGTGCCCTTAATAGTTGAAATGGAACTATTTAATTCTTCTTTGGCATCTTTTAGAAGTTCCAAACAATCATCAAATGCAGCCTTTTTAAGGGGTGTGTCAAATTTGATAGTCTTGGAATGATCAATAACTTCATCAATCCCCTCAGAAACAACAACCATTGTGGCCTTGAGGATTTCTTTTGGTTGAGTGGCTGCATTACCCTTGACTGTCTTCAAAAGGCTATACTTACATGTTTCCTTGTAATCTGTAACTGCACATACTGCATTCACAGCCTTTTCTGCTGTGACCAGAGGCTTCGGGGCTGCATTCTTTGGTTCCTTATTGAAAGTATCCGCATTTTTTTGATTGAAAAAAACCACACCAATTGCAGCAGAAACTACGAGGAGGATGGCAACACTAGACACAATAGCAATTGTGATCCTTTTCCTTATCTTCTGTTGCCTCTCTTGCTTTCGTCGTTCTGTAATCAGGTCGAAATCTTGGAACGCCATTTTGCTTATTTGCAAATGAGGAAGAAAAAACTCTGCCTTGGCCTTCTTAGACTCAAAAGCCAAGGCAGTAAGAATGTAGAAGTTTTTCCTCCTACCTTTTAGTTTCTACCTCTTCTTTTTATGGTTTTTATTTTTTCGCCTTTTCTTCTCCTTTTTTTAGTAATAAAAATAGTGCAATTTGGTTCCATGATTTAGCAAGAGATGGATTGGAGAAATTTCAGGTCCTCTCACTAAAATAGTATTCAGTTAAGGATTAGACAATTGATGATGGAAAACGTGCCTTTATAACATATTTGTAGCGATTTTTCTTCTCCTTCTGTAATTCTCCTTACATATATATGTGCCTACTCTTCTATCTCAATCACAATTTTTCATAAGTACCATCATGCTAAAAGTGCATGTGTGAACTTAAAAATCACTTCTTCTTTTTTCAGGAAAAATCAGTAAAGGTTAAAAATTTAAAAAGTTCGTAAAAAGAGCGATACATCAATGGTTGAGTTACTCAATCAGATTTGTTGTATTCTCTTTTTGGTTTACTATGATTTTTTGACGTATAGTCATAGTATTGAATAATGCGAAATATATGTTTAAAATTAAATTTTGATTTTGGCATTTAAATAGTAAGGAGTTTTATTGAAAGGCAAACAAGAAAAATCGAAAAGTTTATTTTGAGATTAGGTCGATCTTCCATTCGAAAAGAAATTATTTCCACGTATCGATCACTTAGCTCGAAACCCTTGTTTATCTTATCAAAGTATTTTGTTGGCATCTATTTTAATATTTCGATTACAAAACCTACAACGCTAACTAAATAAAAAGTAAAAGGAAAAAGGTAACATAATTCCCAAAGATAATATGAAATGAAAATAGAAAATATATCAAGAAATTTCATCGGCAGAACTTTCACCGAAAGTTTCATTAGATTACTGAAATTTAATTTGCTTGATTAGGACACAAAATTAGTGCTGTGTCACGTATCATCTTTAAAAGTTATGGAAAATTGCTCAATTGGCATTCATACGACAATTGATTTTCTACGTATCGGTATGTGGAACCTAAGAAATGAAATGTAAAATAAGAATTACGACAACATGTTATAATTGTGCAATGTGGCGTAGTAGTAAATTCCTATACCACTAGCGATTATTAGAAATTTGTTGCCTTGTGTCACATCCCCCATTTTTTGTCAAAGTCAAGAAATATAATTGGTCAAAGTCAATAAGGGTTTAAGTTTAACAAATAATTTTCACGAGACTTAAATTGTAATTTCAAGTAATTGAGGGCTAGAAATGATATAATAAAGGAATCCAAGGATTTAGTTTCTATTATGGAAAATGACTTGCAATTATTCAATATTTATCCATATATATTATCCATTTTCTCATTTTTGGGGGGGAAAAAGAGAGAAGGGCCGAGAGAGACTAGGAATAAAAGAGAAAAGAAGAAAGAAAAAGGAAGAGGAGGAGGTTTCAAGCTAGGGTTCTCAACTTCTTCAATTTCTCTTTTGATTTAGAATGGTAAGTATACGTATATTGAATTGAAAATTTTGGGGTTTATGAAAAATTTATTTTAATTCGAAGTTTAGCAATAATTAGTTGTTATTGATATGTATTTGAGGTTATAAATAGGAATATAGCAAAGAAATGTTATTTGAGTATTGAAGTTGAAGAAAGTTGAATTTTGAAATGGGTTTGTAAGATAGAAACATATTATTTGAATTTTTTGTGATTATATGATGTTAAACATTTAACTTAAGGAATTAGGGTTGATTTCTCCATTTTTAAGTAATTATTATAAGCAATTTTTGGACAAAATCCTACATAGGTGTTATTTCTAAAAATCTGCCCAGAATAGTGCTAATTCTGTCAAAGGTTTTGCTGCCAGATTTAAATAACGAAATTGGTGCCAGCTTTCAATATTATGGGATTATAGTGCTGTTTTTGTCAAAGCTCTTATTTTCGGATTTTTAAAGGTTTTAATGAAGTTATATGACAAGTGTTGAAGTTTACGTATTGGAATAAATTGTGTATAGGGGTTGTATATGAATAAGGTATTGATTTTAAGGAAGTACAAGTGATTTAATGGAATTGAAAATAAATGGTGATTAGTTGATAAATCATTAGAGCGGAGAAAAGTTGGGAAATTGAAGATGTAATAGTAAATATAGAAATTGAGAAATTGAGATGCAGAATTGTATTAATTTAATTGTCTAATTTTAATTGAGTAATTATACCATTTTTCAGGTAGGGACATGAAAGCTAGGAATAGCTTGTCAATTGAGCCAAATTTCTATCCATGGATCTGTGAGTGGAAAAATCTAAATATTTTTAAAGTATTTATGAATTAGGTATATTATCAAAGTATGTGCAATTATGTGTTCGAATTAAATGGTTATTACGAAAATATCTTTTATTATAATACATGTGAGATTTCAAAGATTGTATACGATACATTGTGAATTGGAATATGAGATGTGACTTTGAGATCGACCAGAAAAGTATTCATGATTATGTATTTCTTCTAGTTCACTGAGGGGTCTTGGCCGTGTTCTATCCTACACGGAGGGGTCTTGACCTGACATTGATTTTGATCATGTACATATAGTTCACAGAGGGACTTTGGCCGTATTTTAGAATTGATTACCAGAGGTCTTGAGATCGGCTTTCATTCATGGAGAGGGCCAAAGGCCCGTAGTAAAAGTTCTTAGCTCAAAGGGGGACTATAGATTTTAGTTAGATGGTACATTTTTGGTGGATTACATTTGATGTTATGAGATGATGGTATGATATCAGCTGATGATTATATCGTGGATATGAGATGATATTTACAGAGTTATGAGAATGTCTCATTTTTTTGCTACTATCGTGTGAATTACTAAACGATATGAACTTGATGTTGGGTAAAAATGTTTAAATGAGAAAGTATAATTACTTTCAAACTCTTTCATTCACTGAGTTATAAACTCATATTTTTCCACGATTTTTCTTACAGGTAGTATTGGTCCCTGATAGCTTGAGGAGCCTGGTGGTTTTAGAATTAGAGCCACACGACATATTGAGTGACACGATTCATTTTGGTAGAACAAGAAGTAATCGTTTTGGGCCCATTGCATTATATTTTTCATAAATATTTGATTTTGGCGCATATTTTGTAGTAAGTCATAGTCAGCCTTGGTGGTGGATCTAACATCTAGTCAGCATCTATCATCGGCGCACGTCACGTTCCTAGTCCATTAGAGTGATTCGGGACGAGACGTATTAGAGTGGTATCAAAGCATGGTTTACAAAGTTATGAAAGTCTTCATAGTTCATGCATTGGAATATCATGCATATTTAGTGCGTGTGGTCACACGTTGTGGTGGCAGAAATTACAGGCTCTCAAGCTCGAATGTATGAAACCAAAAATGATATAAAAATATTTTTTTTACGGATCCAGAAATGGATAGTATGTAAGTATGATAGTTGCAATGATTTGATGATTGAAATTATTATTAGTTGCTGATTTGGAACTGTGGTAAATGTAACCTATTAAGAGTTGATTAGATCATAATACATAGGAAAATCATTGGTTATAGCTTGCCCAATAAATACAGGTAAATGATATAATTTGTGTAATTGGAGATAATCAGTGAAGGATTTTAATTATTTTGGGGAAGCTAAATTACCATTAGCGCTATTGATAATTGTGGTGAATCGTAGCCACTTGTTTGGGATGAGAATAGAAAGCATGTGGGTGTACACTTATGCTATATGATAAGAATTTTGTAGAGGACAAAATGATAATATTATATAGAATGTTGATAAATAAAATACAATGTTTTATTATGTATATTATGCATTGAGGAACTTAACATTCATGTGTACTTTGAGAAGAGTCTAGGATGGGCTTAGTCGCCTTGACCAATTAAATGATAGGTTACAAAATGAGAAAGATAGGTAGTGACAAATGAGGTTAGAGGAAAAAAAAAATTTACTCAATGGGTTACTTATTGGTATAGAAACTTGGGGCCAAGGTGATAGAAAATGATTACATAAAGAGATTATGAAATTTATGGTGAAGTGGAATTATGTATGGTAGTATAGTAGTTAAGGAAAATGGTGGGGGAAAAATGAATAATAGATGGAAGGATTAAGAGTTCCATTCAAGGAAATAAAACTTTGATAGGAATATATAATTGGGGACATGTGTGGTCGGAAGTGACCAAGAGTAGAAAGAAAAGAGTATGAATTAGTGTTAAATCACTGTGTACATGATATATGCAATAGTACCATAAATTTAAGGATATGAGGAAAGAAATGGCATTGGGTTCTGTATAAGTATGTGTATTTATCGAAAGAATGAGAAAAGAAAGAAAATAGTAAAGAGAGGTATGGATATCCATTAAGGTTGTGAGTTGGGTATACAGTGGTATCGATATTGGATCGTTAAATATGGGTATAATGATTTTCAATAAGGTTCAACAAATTAAGTACGATGAATCATCTTGTTCAACTTGGGAGACAAGACATGACTATATTTTGTTGTTATATGGTACGATGATTTTCACTTGGAAAGGTTATTTTATTATGAAAGGCATTGTGAATGGTGATAAACAAGGGATAGGACAGTTTTACATAAACAGAATTATGTTATAGTATAGTCTGGTTAAAATGTGAATTGATTTTCCTCTAGCCATTATTGGGTTTATTATGTTGGTTTATAAGTTATCGAGGACGACGTATTAAATTATAAATATGGCTTAGTTTTAAGAGTTATTTGTGATTCCTTTGGGATGACTATCATGTCAGTTATATGTTGAATTTCATGAGTAGAATATCTCATTTTGATCATAAAGATTTGATAAAAATTTCATGTATGACATGTTATTGTACGTAGAGCGTAAAAGGTGAAATAATGTTCTATTAGATAAGAGGTAGTTTTGAGCATGTCATTTAAGTGCACAGGATTTTGTGGATACATTACATAAAGTCAGTAAGGACATATCATCACATTGTACTACCAAGGAAGATGGAATACTAGTTATGGTAAACAAGTTAGGTGGTCGAGATGATGCCCAATAAAAAAAAAAGGGGGAATAGAGATAAAATCTAGGTGTTGTGTTTTTCTTTCTTTATTTAAGAAATTGGTAAGCTTAAGTTTCTTACTTTAATATGAGTAAGTATATTTGAAGTTGTGCAAAACATTGTATTCTCTCTACATATAATTGTGGTGCTTGAGAGAATTAAATTGACAATGAAACGTGAAACATGGAAAGAAAAGAATGAGGAATTGAAGACTGTAGTAGTAAATTGTATGTTATATATGATCATAATTGAAAAGTGAAAATGGAAAATTAGAAGAGAAGAAGATAAGCGGAATATGTATATGGGTATTGCAGGGAATGAATATTTGTAGAGAAGAAGAAATGAAAAATTTTAAATGAAAAGTTGGGAATAACATATATTGGTTCTTAGGAAAGTTATTCAAAGCATATTAATGAAAGAATGAACTTTGAGCCTTGTTGAAGGTTGTTGGAGAAATCATTCGTTATTTTTGCTTTCATTTTTGAAGTGGTTAAGATTGTCACACCCCTCATTTTTAGTCAAAGTCAAGAATTATGATTGGTCAAAGTCAAAGTCAATAAATGCTTAAATTTAACAAATAATTTTCATGGGACTTAAATTGTAATTTCAAGTAATTGAGGGCTAGAAATGATATAATAAAGGAATCCAAGGATTTAGTTTCTAATATGGGAAATGAAATAACTAAATGTGATATTGTATGAAGATTGGGGGATTTGACTTGCAATTATTCAATATTTATCCATATATATTATCCATTTTCTCATTTTTGGGAAAAAAGAGAGAAGGGCTGAGAGAGACGGGGAAGAAAAGAGAAAAGAAGAAAGAAAAGGAAGAGGAGGAGGTTTCAAGTTAGGGTTCTCAACTTCTTCAATTTCTCTTTTATTTTACAATGGTAAGTATATAAGTATATTGAATTGAAAATTTTGGGGTTTATGGAAAATTTATTTTAATTCGAAGTTTAGCAATAATTAGTTGTTATTGATATGTATTTGAGGTTATAAATAGGAATATAACAAAGAAATGTTATTTGAGTATTGAAGTTGAAGAAAGTAGAATTTTGAAATGGGTTTGTAAGATAGAAACATATTATTTGAATTTTTTGTGATTATATGATGTTAAACATTTAAATTAAGGAATTAGGGTTGATTTCTCCATTTTTAAGTAATTATTATAAGCAATTTTTAGACAAAATCCTACATAGGTGTTATTTGAAAATCTGCCCAAAATAGTGCTAATTCTGTCAAAGGTTTTGCTGCCAGATTTAAGTAAAAAAATTGGTGCCAGATTTCAATATTATGGGATTATAGTGCTGTTTTTCTCAAAACTCTTATTTTTGGATTTTTAAAGGTTTTAATGAAGTTATATGACAAGTGTTGAAGTTTATGTATTGGAATAAATTGTGTATAGGGATTGTATATGAATAAGGTATTGATTTTAAGGAAGTACAAGTGATTTAATGGAATTGAAAATGAAATTGTGATTAAATGATGAATCATTAGAGAGGAGAAAAGTTGGGAAATTGGAGATACAAGAGAAAATATAGAAATTGAGAAGTTGAGAGGTAGAATTGTATTAATTTAATTGTCTGATTTTAATTTGAGTAATTATATCGTTATTTCAGGTAGGGACATGAAAGTTTGGAATGACTCGTCAATTTAACAAGATTTCTATTCATGGATTTGTGAGTGGAAAAATCTAAATATTTTTAAAGTTTTATGAATTAGGTATATTATCAAAGTATGTGCAATTATGTGTTCGAATTATATGGTTATTACAGAAAAATCTTTTATTAGAATACATGTAAGATTTCAAAGATTGTATACGGTACATTGTGAATTGGAATGTGAGATGTGATTTTGAGATCGACCAAAAAAGTATCCGTGATTATATATTTCTTCTAGTTCACTGAGGGGCCTTGGCAGTGTTCTATCCTACATAGAGGGATTTTGACCTGACAATGATTTTGATCGTGTACATATAGTTCACAGAGGGGCATTGACCGTGTTCTAGAATTGATTATCGGAGATTTTGAGACCGACTTTCGTTCACGGAGAGGAAAGAAAGTTCTTAGCTCAAGGGGCGGATTATAAATTTTAGTCAGAGGTTACATTTTTTGTGGATCACATGTGATGTGATGAGATGATGGTATAAATATCAGCTGATGACTATATCATGCATATGAGATGATATTTACAGAATTATGAGAATGTCTCAATTTTTGGCTACTATCGTGTGAATTACTAAACAATATGAACTTGATGTTGGGTAAAAAATTTTAAATGAGAAAGTATAATTATTTTCAAATTCTTCCACTCACTGAGCTATAAACCTATATTTTTTCATGATTTTTCTTATAGGTAGTATTGGTCCCTAATACCTTGAGAAGCCTGGTGTTTTAAAATTAGAGCCACGCGACATATTGAGTGATACAATTCATTTTGGTAAAACATGAAGTAATCGTTTTGGGCCTATTGTATTATATTTTTCATAAATATTTGATTTTGGCGCATATTTTGTAGTAAGTCATAGCTAGCCTTGGTGATCGATCTGACACAAGTCAGCATATATTATCGGCGCACGTCACGTTCCTAATCCATTAGGGTGATTCGGGACGGGACGTGTTACCTTATAACTATCAATTAAGCAATTTTTATCTATTTAGAAGGAGATTGACATAGTAGTAAAATTTCAATTTAAAATTGAAGTAATCCAATTGAAACTAAATTGCGGTAAGTGATCATACTAAGCTAAATTAAGTTTAATGACCCAATTGTGATTTCACTAAAAGTGACCACAAGTGAAATTTGAGAAATGATATTCATAGTCGTTAACTACATTAATCGCCCTACATAATATCCTATATGAAAGTTTGTGATTTCATATATTAATGTGTGAGTTTTTTCTTGTCTCGTATATCAAATCACTAACCACCACATATACGCCACGTAGGATGACTGTAACAATGAGTGACTACAAATAGCATTACCCTCATTCAGTAGAAAAACTTATATATCTACAAGAATTAAAGAAAACTGTTATCCTCTCTTGCTTGGCTCCTTCCATCACCAATAATAAACCTCTAAAGATTTTAGTACTTTTCCACATCATTGTGCTTGTATTTCTCTTCTTTTCTATTTTTCTCAGGCTCACATTTCTGCTTTTGTCAGTTTCATTTCACCACTAAAAAACATGGTTTTAGGCACGGATTTTTTGTTCTCGAAATCTCGATATTCATTGATATTACTCTTTATCAACGGAATATTTGCAACCGCAAATCCATTGCTAATTTGAGGGTCGCTGATAGTTATCAACGGATCCTATCGTAGGTAAAAAGTAAACATTTTACCAAAGAATTTTCCATTGATAAAGTGTGAATCTTTTACCAACAAAATTTTCATTGCTAAAAATTTTAATCAATACCAACCTACTTTTCGTTGATAAATGTCTACCCTTATAGTTGGTAAAAATCAATGTTGTAATTAGCCGCATAGGTGTGAGGCATGGAAAAAAATTTATTTATTTTTTATTATTGTTATTATTATTTATTTAATAATTCTAATTTTTTAACTTTTAGCTAACCAAATTGGAAGGCCAAAATATTGTTCAACCACTTATTGGACCACAAATTAATTTATAGAGGGCAACTCCGAAGATTTTGTTGTAAACTTTCGATGTGGAATAACTGAATTACTTTTACCAACGGATAATCCATTTCTAATTACCAATAAAATATCAGTAGGTGAAATATCCAAGTGTTAAATGATTACATGAGGCACAGAACATCCGTTAATAAAGAGATATCATCTTTGAAAATCCGTTGATGATTATCGTAATTCAAAGTGAATTACTTTACCAACGGATAATCCGTTTCTAATTATCAACAGATTGCATCTGTTGATAATATTCGATACGTCACCTACGAATATTCCGTAGGTGAAATATCCAAATGTTAAAGGGTTACATGAGGCATAGAATATTCGTTGGTAAAAAGATATCATCGTTAACAATAGAAAATCCGTTGTTGATTATCGCAGGTGAAAGTAAATAACTTTTATCAACGGATAATCCATTTCTAATTACCAACGGATTGCATTCGTTGATAATTTTTCATAGGTAAAAAGCTGCTTTTTAGTAGTGTTTCTTTTATGGGTATTTTTCTTACGAGAAATCTGCACCGGCATTCTCGTATGGATATGAGATTTCAATAATGCATTTGAGGTAGTAAATGTTGATTAATTTCATTGTTTCTTTTTGCATCTTTGGTGAAATTTTTAAGTAAGATTGCAATTTTTTTGCTTCATGAGGCTGAAAAATGTGGAATTTTATTCATGTTATTGACTAGCAATTCAATGGTCTTTTGTCAAAATTTATTCTTTTTCAAGAAGAATAGTAGTTCACGAAATTCATTTTCCTATCATATTTTGTCTAGTTCCGTGGTTCTTTTGAGTACTGGGAGAAGAAAATCTTCTAGACAGATTCCAAATGCCAAGAAAAGACATTAAAAGTGGATGAGTTGGTGGCAGAGATTTTTTCTTGAGGATGATGAGAACTAGCTTGCTTTGAAGGATAAGGATATGTTTGAGGGTGTGGACTCGGAGGAGGGCTCGAGTGATGATGAATTCTCTGAGAACAAAAAGTTTGAGGAGTGGAAAAGCCAGTTGAGGCGATCATAGAGTTAAGGGAAGCACAAGAGAATGCAAAGAATAATGAGAATAGAAGGTGGGAGGACTGGCTTGTGAATGGAACTAATGGTGCATCATGGGTTCAAGAATTCAATGGCACAGTTGGAGAACCTTTAAATGATGTGGGAGAAGATTTTAGTGAGCTAATTTCTGGTAGAGGATTGATTAAGTCAGTAAGGGAGTTGTTTCAATGCAGAGAAGATTATGATATTCCGTATGAAGAACATGTCTTCCGTTATGCTTCATTCAATTCGGTAAGTGACTTCATGACAATTTTTTAAATAGCTTGTGAATGGAACTAATGGTGCATCATGGGTTCAAGAATTCAATGGCACAGTTGGAGAACCTTTAAATGATGTGGGAGAAGATTTTAGTGAGCTAATTTCTGGTAGAGGATTGATTAAGTCAGTAAGGGAGTTGTTTCAATGCAGAGAAGATGATGATATTCCGTATGAAGAACATGTCTTCCGTTATGCTTCATTCAATTCGGTAAGTGACTTCATGACAATTTTTTAAATATCTAATTTGCTTTCACGCATTAAATTAAATTCTTATTTATGTTATAATTTATCATTATCAATCTCAATCTTTGATTCCCTGATCATGAATTATTATAGCACGATAATTGACTGATATCGAATCAATTGCTAAACTCAAGTTTGTAAGACCATCAACTGGACAATCAGCTTTCTGCACAGTGACACCACGCCTTTCAGTGTGGAAAGTATACTGCAAGTAAAAAAATTGTCATACTATACTATGACATTTGAAGCATTATGAACAAAAGCTGAGATGAAGCAAGCATCTTTGTTTGACCTTTATATAAGATTGAACGAGTATTTCTATGCTTTGACCGGCTAAATTTTTGGCCATACTTGTTATTGTTCCATAGGCTATGGATTTCTTGGTTCACGACTATGTTCTTATGCCATTTCTGGACGGATGATAATTGACACACAATTAATGCATTTTGAGTTCTTTTGGATCAGTTGGAATAAGCTACTTATCTAAATTACCTTGTATCAACGTGGGAATGATTTTCTTTTGATAATTTCATTATTAATAACCCTACGCTGTATACTTAAAGAAGAGTTTTGTATCAAGGGCATCTAAGAAAGATCCTAATTCTGTTACAGTTAAAAAGCCAATTGTTGCTTTCATTTTTGTCGAAATGTCAATCGAGTTATATAGAATATCAGCATTTTAAACAATAGTACTTTAAGGGGCTCGTTTGTCTAATTTTATGAAAGTGCATCTTTTAGTTAAAAGAGTTTTAAGATGAAACTAGTTCATTATGACTTCCTCTAGGAGTGCTAAGGAAATAAGAAGCTCTTTTAGAAATTAATTTCTAAACATAAATTAAGGTAGCTTTCTAAGGAAGCCCTTCTACGAGGAGCAAAAGTAAAAGGGATGCCAAACGGGACCTTTAGTCCATTTATGCTGAGTGTACATTTGGTTGATCTTAAAAGTAAGTCAAACTTGCATCTAAGTTTCTTATTTTTTCAAATATGATTTTCAAAGTTACTTTTTACTAACAAAACTTACTTTTATAGAAAGTATATCTTAACTTGCTTTATAAAGAAGTTACTTTTAAGCACAATCAAACATTCGTATTGCCCATATTAACACAAAGTGGTCCACCAACACCATTACTGTGTAGCTTAGTTTCCAACATGTTGACTCTAATAAGCCAATTCCATAACAGGACTTTGGTTTCACAGAATGTCTATACATTTTGTGAACCATATGTTAAGTCTATATTTTGGACATGGGATTCAAGTCTCAAACCTTGCAATGGGAACCATGACAATCCACCATGCTCTATGATCATGTGCCCACATCAAACTGGCTTTGAACTAGCCCATGACTAATCTTAGACGAACACTGCTATGTCATCTATTGTGTTTAGGACCCAAATTAAAAAAAAAAATTGTTTCCTTATTTTCACATGATTTTATTGGAAATATAATATTTCCTTATTTCACATTATTTCCATCTTTTCAGCATGGTATGTACCTATAATAGTAATTTCTTCTTTCAATTTAGTTCAAGCCAAAATTGCAATGTTATAATTTTCTCTCTATATCGTTGTTATAATAAAATATCGTTTCCCCTACTTAACTCTCTTTGATTACTTTACTTTAAATCTAGTTTCATCTTTGTAATTTTGTTACATAT